CTCAATTCCTATGTATTTATATATCTAGCACTTAAAAGTTCAATTTTTGCATATATGCCACCGTATCTATACATAAAAAGAGGTATTTCATTTTTTATGTTAATTTGAAACATTTGGGCGTATAGATGTAAAAATCAAAGTTGGTGTTAGATACGCGATTACATAAGATTTAGGTGGCATGTTATGTAAATGCCCCAATATAATTTTGATGGATTTTTTCTTCTAATTTTGCCTACTGAAGCTCACCATAATCTTGTCAACTCAATGAACTGAATAAGTACAGTATTATATTGGAGTTATTAGAATTATTGATTTTCCATAGCCATTATTATTTATTAATTACCTTATTCTCCATTATGTAGTTTCCATTTTACTGTTATTCTGATTTTATTTATTAGATTATATTTTTATTTCTTTCTTTATTTGAGTCTATTGTATGTGGGCTTAAATATCCTTCCTTGTATCAATATGAATTATAGTGCTCTGGTCACAAATTCAACATAGTATCAAAGTTATGACTCTAACCCCTAGAACCTCCTTCCAGCATATGCCTAGTATGCTGCTATTTTTTGCTTTGGTCGTATGGTTCCAGCATCTGTTCAGCAAGTTCCTTCAGCTGTTGTTCTCCAACTCCAGCCGATGTTGCTTCTACCACCTTGATGCTGTTGCTTCACCTGTTAATTTCTTTTGTCGTAGGTTTTCCCGTATGACTCCTTCAATCGTTGTTCCTTTAGTCACTGTTCTCCAACCAGTACAGTTTCTTCAGTCGTTGCTTCCCGCTAATTCCTTCTGTCTCGCTACTTCCAACCGATACAATTCCTTTAGTCGGTGATTCCAGCCACTAATTCTAGCTGCTGATCCAAAGAGACCTTCCAACCAGCCCATGTCTCACTAGTGCCGCTAATCCTCCTTGTAGTTCCGAAAGTCGTAGTCTTTTCCTATCCGCATGATCCTTGATTCCAATAGTCACAAAATCCTCGATTCCCATGGTGCATTTGTTCCAGCACAGCCACTGGTTTTGCAAGGAGTCTGAAAGTCGACTAGCGTCGGTCTTTCCTGTAGAGATTTTATTTCCTGCAATTGTATCTGTTTGTCGTGATCCAACAGAATTCTTCAATGGCTTAGAACCACAAACCTAACCACACTCAAGATAAGTGTTAGAATCATCGCGTTGATTCGTCATACAAATCTTCGGTCAAATCCTCTTATACTAAATGTCTCAAGGCGACGACCAAGCCCACCATGACTTAACAGACTCCTACCCGAAACATCCCAGAATCCTCAGAATCCCTGAAAAAAATCAGATGGAGCAATTGATTAAGCTTCTTGAAGCCCATCAAGTCTCTACCGGTCCCTTCACCTCCCAAGTCCGAAAAGGTACTCTTCCTGTGGCTTTCGTGACTTATTCTACCTCTAGTCCATGGATTATTGATTTAGGTCATGACTGGATGGTCACAAGTTTTCTCGACTTACTATTCATGCTCTGGAAAATATACCGTCATAATTACCAATGGCTCATGTGGTTAAATTGTTGTTAAAGGGTCGGTTGTACTAACAACAGATCTAACTCTAGAGTCTATTTTACATGTTCCAAAATTGCAATGTAACTTGTTATATGTCAGCAAGTTGACGAATGATATTGATTATGTTGCTAATTTCTCTTTTGATATTTGTGTTTGAGGATCGTTGTTCGGAAGGATGATCGGAATTGCTAAGAGGGTAATCAAACTCTACTACTTCCAAGAGAATATATGGAGAGTAAGACACACATCTTAGGAGTTTTAGCTTATCTCGAGTCATTCAATATCTCGTTATATTTTTGTACTGTCTTTTGGGTCATCCTAGTTTCTAATATTTAAAAAATTTGTATCCATGGATGTTTTCTAATAAAAATATTTCAAAATTCAATTGTGAGACATATCAATTAGTCAAAAAACATCAGGTCTATTACTCACCCCACACTTACACAACTTCCGCGCATTTCTCTCTCATTCAGAATGACCTATGGAGACCCTCCCGCACTCCTAGTTAGACCAATAAAAGTTGGTTCATGATTTTGACTGATGACCACACTTGAATAACATGAGACTACTTTTTAAAAGACAAATTTGATGTTGTTGTCATATTTCAAAACTTCTACATCTTTATTTTAACCCAATTCAAAACTCTTATTCAGGTCTTTAGAAATAATAATGGTTGTAAGTTTTTCAACACTATTTTGGGTGAATTCTTGGTGAGTAAGGATACTCTCAACCATAGCTCGTGTACTGACACTCCTCAACAAAATATGATAGCCAAAAGAAAAAAATGGCCACATCCTTGAGGTTACTCGCTCCATTATGTTTCAATCCAATGTCCCGAAACGGTTTTGAAATGATGTTATTCTCACTTCCACATATCTTATAAATAAAGTCTCCTTTAAATTTCAAAAGACCCGAACCCCCTTAGTTGTCCTGATGTCTTGCTTCCCCGTCAATCAAATCTTCACCTTAAACCCCAAGATTTTTGGGTGCACTGCTTTCGTTTGGAACCATTATGTTTCAATCCTCATTGACGTTACTCGTTCCATTATGTTTCAATCCAATGTCCCAAAACGGTTTTAGAACGATGCTATTCTCACTGCCACATATCTTATAAAAAGAGTCTTCTTTAAATTTCAAAAGATCTGAACCCCCTTAGCTGTCCTGATGCCTTGCTTCCCCGCCATTCAGATCTCCACCTTAGATCCTAAGATTTTTGGGTGCACTGCTTTTGTTTGGAACACTGCCTACAATCAGAGTAAACTTGATCTCAGGTCCATAAACTGTACCTTCCTTGGGTACTCCCTCAAAAGGGGTATCGGTGCATTGATCCTACCACTAACAAAATCCATGAGTGTTGATGTCACCTTCTTTGAAAGTATTTCATATTTTCCTAGCTCAACCCCAAGTGAGGGGGAGCTTGAGCTATGAAGTTCTTAGACATTGTCCCTTATCCTACCCCTATGTCTGTTCTCCCCAGTGTTCCTGCCACTGAGGAGTCTCATGTTCCGGTAAGTGTGTCATCTGTTGAGTCATCTGATTCGGAAAGTGAGCCATCCCCTCATCTCGCTATCCAAGTCTACACTCGATGCACCTGTTCCAATGCTCCTACTCTAGAACCCGCTGCCTCCTTACAGGACCTTGACTTCACTTCGGGCGACAACCTCAGCACGACCCCTCCTCTAAATGAGGAGATGAGTTCTCCGAACAAGGTATGCAATCAAACATGATCCCTCTACCATATGACAAAATATATCTCTTTCCACAATTTATAGCCAACCTACATAGCATTTGCTACTGCCCCGACAGACCATCAGATCCCAGCTACTATTTAGTTGTGTTGTCAATCTAGCCTGAAAAACGACAATAATTGAGGAGATGAATGTCCTTCAGTGGAACCATACACGGGACATCGTTGATTTTCCTCATGGTAAGAAAGCTGTGGGGTGTCGATGTATTTTTAGCATCAAGTTCAACTTTTGCAGTCCGCACACTTACCCTTTGAACGCAGCAAGGCACGATTGGTCGCCAATGATACTCACAAACCTATGAAATTGACTATAATGAGACATTTGCTCTAAAAGCCAGATTAAACACTATTTGGAACCTGTTGTCCCTTGTGGTGAATCTGGATTCATCTTTATTCCAGCTAGATGTCAAGAATGCATTCTTGAATGAAGAGCTTATAGAAGAGGTATACATGTCTCTCCTTCTTGGTTTTGACTCTGTTGCCTCCAAAGGGCAAGTGTGCAGACTGCAAAAGTTCCTTGATGAACTAAAGTTGTTCCCAAGGGCATGGTCCAGCAAGACTCAATCAGACCACACTCTCTTCTTTCGACATTTCTCCAATTATCAGGTAGTTATCTTTATTATCTATTTTGGTGATATTATTCTAACAGGTAACAATATCCCAACATTGGAGTACTTGAAAGAAATTCTTGCTACGTCCTTTCAAATGAAGGACTTTAGATAACTCTGGTACATTTTAGGCATGAAAGGGCTCAATCATCTCAAAGCATTTGCCTATCTCAGCATATATACGGGATAAGCCGCTTGACAGAGAACAATCTTCTTCTGTGTGAACTTTTGGCCTTCCCTATGGATCTCAATGAAAAATTATCTAACATTTCCAATGTTGTGTATGTCAACAAGACTCACTACCAGCGTCTTATGAGGAAACTCATCTACCTCACTCATACTCGCCCCGACATATGTCACTCAGTTGGTATAGTGAGTTAATTCATGCACGAACCCTATGAGCACCATCTTCAAACTGTCCACCGGATTCTCCACTATTTAAAATGTACACCGAACTCGTGTTTGTTTTTCTCTCGTGACACCTCTCGATTTACTGTAGTTTATACAGATGTTGATTGGGCTAGGTCCGTTCATAATTATGTTCTACCTCGAGTATTGATCATTTGTATGGAAAAATCTTATCACGTGAAAAAACAATCAGTGGCTTCTCGGAGTAGTGCTGAAGTTGAATATCGGTACATGTCCTTGGGGATCTGTAAAGCCCTCTGGTTACGCATCATATTTTACAAACTTCGTATGCCAACCTTAGCTCCGCTATAGCTATTCTGTGATAACAAAACCGCCATCAGCATTGCTCACAATCCAGTCCAGACTTCATTAAAGAAAAGATCAAGTCCAAAGGAATTTATGTTCCTTTTATGCCCTCCAGTGGTCAACTAGCAGATATCCTTATCAAGAATCTTCCTCGTTCTTGTTTAATGACTTCAAATCCAAGTTGAACATGATTGACATTTATACTTCAACTTGAGAGGGAGTATTGAATTTATTAGATTTATTGGCTTTCCATAGCCGTTATTATATATTAATTACCTTTATTATTCATTATGTGGTTTTCTTTTTATTCTTATTATGATTTTATTTCTTTCATTGTATTTTTATTTCTTTCTTTATTTGAGTTTATCAAATTCAACTAAATTTTATATTGTTACAAAATTTGGACTCGATCGGTAGTTTGTTCGCGCACCTGTAGTTTGTTAGATTTATTGGCGCGCACCTGTAGTTTGTTCATTTGGTATTTACCATTTGTATCAATATGAAAAAACTCTAAAAGCCAGTAGGCATAAAAAAGTTTATGAAAATGCAGAAAATTTTAAGGAGACAAATATCTAGTTACAAAACAGTCCACTTCATTTCATCAATTAACAATTTACATCAGAGGGGAAATTCCAAACCTGGAGAAACAGACCTTGGCAGCGCCATCATCATCGGGGACTGAGGGTCACTGGTGAAGAAACTATGAGAGCCACCTTCTGAATCATCTGGCAACTTCAGAGAGCTCTCCATCGATCTACAAAACATGTGCTCCGAAAAATGATTTCCCCAAATGTCATAAGTGAAATCTTTCTGAACTGCATCGCTCCCATCGCCCTTTATCGTCTTTTCTTCACGAAGCTTAGACCCAGGTGCACGTGCACACGGAGCGATAAGAGATATTGGAGACAAGGAGCTCGAAGCAGCCACATCAGGTGAGCGCCAACCAGGTCCGGGGAAGGTGGCGCTCGGCAACAGACTCGGCTTTCCGAGGAATTTGGTGGCTACTGAAGGCAGAGCTTGATCAGAGTACTTTGCACTTTCTGTCTTTCTTGAAAGATTAGAAGTTTCAGAACCAGGCTTCCTTAGACAGTATTGTTCATTGGATTCGTCAGTAGAAAGATGAACAGTAGAGTCGGGAGATTGGGCCAGTGAATGTTTAGGAGTGGAAATGTTGGGGGATAATGGGGAAGAAGGTGTAGAATTCCCACTCTGACTGCTTGAAACATCAAATTTTGCTGCTAGTCCTGCTCCATTCGGCTTCCTCTTTCTTCTTCGAACCTTGTCTCTCACAATTCGGACGGTGAGATTACAATTTTGTGGGATTTCAAATGTATGGGCATTATTAGGAACTTCTATGCGACTATTTTGTAACTGTGGAGAAAAACTGTCAATTTTTTTATCATCTAAGCATCCCGAAATCAGCTTCTTTCTAGCTGTATCGCGGTGATCAGGAGCACAGTCAAGATAACGATTGAAATAATGAGCCGCCTCATATTTTTCGTCGTCTCGCGAAGCCCTGGAAATTTCTACTTCTGTTAATTTTAAGGAGTTTGAATAAGTTACCTTTGGAATGGAATGAGCCATACCTGGAATTTCTAGTGTTACGTTGGAGAGGTGAAGAAGATTCAGTCTTGTGTTGGGATCCCACAGTATTGCTGAACTTGATGAAATAGTCATCATTGGAGGGGGAGAAAGACTGAGGAATTATTCGGAATAGAGTATGAAGAATAATGGAAGAAACAAAAAGAAGCACTAGAAATAGTTTCCAATGCAATGATCTGAAGAGGGGCTTCCTACACATGTTGAGCATGTAGACAGGAATGCTTGCTTTCATAGGTATCACTAAAATCCCTGTATCCATAGCAAGCTCTAGATCTCTGCGAATAACAGAAGTGGAGAAATCTGATTCATATGAAATAAGAAGATTTGTTGATTCCCCTGGAGCCAGAGAAAACCCTCTACAATTATGTATTGTGAACCCATCGGAGCCACAATCAGATCCAGAAACTTTCATTTTAATTACTTCAAGAGGAAGCTCGCCGGTATTCTTAGCAAAGAGCTCTTTGAAGAATAGATTACTGCAGAAAGAAGCAGATTTTTCTAAGGGAATGAGAGTGTCCGAGGCAGATAAATTAAAAGTCAGCAGAAAGTGGAGATCAAAATCTAGCTTAAAAATGGGGACAGAGCCCTCAAGAATGACTAGAGACTGAGAGCCACCAAATGCTTGAAGTGGAAACCATTCTACACCTGAAAGATTATTCCTTATCAAAGCAGAGCTCCTCCACATGCACCGATTCGAAGGAAGAAATATGACGGGGCCAAATAAAGCGCTATCTTGAGGGTGAACTAAAGCTTCTGTTACAGCAGATTCTGCTATCGAGAAGCCGACTCGAATTTCTGCTGAATCAATGTGCGAAAATTTGGTCAAGAATGTATGTTCTGAAAGCTCATCAGTAGACTTGCAGTGATCGATGATTGTCCCAGGGTTCAGTAGAAGTTGCATCAAAACTGGTTTTTGACTGGGATTGTGCACACTGATCCACTTGCAGTAATGGCTTCCTACTTGAACTACTGGAAACAACAGTTCTTGGTCTTCAAGCACAGACATCATGCTCATGGTGGCTTGAGATTTCCAATTGTCGAGCACCAGATCATCATATTCAATTGGCTGTAAAAAGAAAGATTCAACAATATAACACGAGTCACATAAGATTCATAGAAAATGGAAGGAAGCAAAGAGTAAATTCAAAATCTATCACATCAACCAAAAGAAATTGAATTTTTTGCATGTCATTAGACCTATATCACGATGAAATACTGAGTTGTCGAGATTGGTTGATAAAATTTATGAAGACAAAGATCCCATAGCGCAGAAAGTCCCATGGAGTCATAAAAGAACGCGCGCTAGTTTTAATATAGTGTAAAAATTTAAAAAAATATATATAAATTTCCAGTATGGTTCACAATGATAACATGGGTTCATGACATTGTAGAACTCAAGCGAAGGCCAATAAGTTGTTGAAATAGAGAGGAGAAGCAACTAGTGAAACTTATTTCAGTAACAAAAACAATGCAAAATTATTTGAGATTAAGACAAAACTACTTGAGCTCGGATAAGAAGAGTTAAGTGTGACGTAATACTTCAACACACTTACAACTTGTTACAGTTATATATGCATGATGATAATGTATGGAAATGCCCTCTATATTGTATAAAATGATAATAGATATGATCAGTTCTTGCTGGATCTAAATATAAATTTAGATGAGGTTTGGGGAAGAATCATGATGATGTAACTCTCCCTGCCACTAGGGAAGCCTTTATTGAACCCAGAAGAGAAGAAAGTAGGAAGAGGCTCCCGATGGCGGGAAGTGTGAATTCATCTAGCACTAAAAGCTCCACACTATACACACAACTTCTCCCATGAGTCAAAGTCAAAGAAGAATCATCCCTTATGTGAACATTGCAAGAAAGTTGATCATACAAAGGACAAGTGCTACAAACTATATAGAAAACTTGTAGATTGGAAACCTGAACAAGGGAGGTAAGACCAAGTCAACAAGGCCCATGTTGTTACTTCATCTGAAGTGTTCGACCTAGCACCTTCACCAAGGAACAACTAGAGGTGTTAAACAAACTTTTTTGAGCAAAATTGAGCGACCTACCATCTTGATTATACACCAAGGTATCATGTCCACTTATCTCGCTAATAATGGAAGGTTTTGACCTTGGATAATAAATTCAGATATTTTTTATCACATGTATAGATATATTCATTCTCTCACCAACTACTAAGAGTTCACCGATACCAAATTTATTAGACTTGTCGATAGATCTCACTTCAGGATTGTTGAAAAAAAAAGTGAGTCTCCATGGATATTTAACTCTCTTCCGTGCTATATGTTACCCAATTAGCTTGCAATTTACCCATGATTTGAACTGTGTTACTAATTTCATTCTATTTCTTGTGTATTTCAGGTAGTGGATTTGGGGGAAGATGATTGATAGTGTTGAATTGCATCAATGTCTATACATGCTCAAGAAGAATTATTCCCTTAACACAAGTTTCTATTCTATTGTCCTCTTATCATGTTCTTGAATTTGTTGTGTATATCTATTGAAATTCACATTGAAATTCAAGTTTTCTTATGGCATTATTGTTCGGGTTATCTGAATTCTCATTATATTGCAAAGTTATACCCTTACCTCTTTTTTAAATAAAAAGTCCAAAATTTTATTAGCATGAAACATGCCAATTTGCTAAACATGCTCGTCATGTTTATCTTATGTCTTAGTACAAACCCTCACAATATTTCTTTATCATCCATAATAATATTTGGGTACCATCAAAATTGAAAATCGTCAATGGAATAGCTAAAAGATTTCTCTTTTATTGATTACCACACATTAAACAACTGAATATTCATATTGAAGGAAAAAATCTGAAACTACACAAATCTTTCAATCATTCTATAATATAATTTCCACTCCGTTTCAATATAAAATTCAGCTTCTCAAAACTAATAATGCAAAGAAATGCTTCTACTCTATCTTTAAACCCCACCTTGCAAATAACAATATTAGTCAAGTGAATTCCTAAATTGAAATTCCATAATAAATGGAATAGCTAAGATAAAGAATATAAATCTCCTCGAAATATCAAAGGTCTATAATGATTTCTCACGATGTTTCAAAAATTTTTGGGGAGATGTGCTCACAGCCATCGACCTCATTAATAAAATGTCAATCAGGGTCACTGGATTCAAAACCCCTCTCGATATTGTTTTGAAAAAATATCCTCATGCAGAGCCTTTTTATCCAATTTTCCTCTAAAAATATTTGGTTCTCTTTTGCTCACATGCACCAACTAAATCACGCAAAGCTTAGCCCAAAATCCATAAAATATATCTTATTTTGGTATGTTTTTAATAAAAATAGGTACAAGTGATATTCTCCCATTATAAAAAAATATTGTAACTCTATAAATGTTATATTCTTTGAAACAAACCTATTACCACAAATCGAATATTCAAGGGTAGAGTCCAAGTGAATATCGAAATTTCAGACACTACTCTGGATATCCATACTAATCTATAGCATCACAACCTATTTTCTTTCCCTCTAATCATCCAGTATCCCAAGTTCCACCTATTAAAAATATCCAACATGAGATGGACAATGAAACTTCGTGTGTAACTTGGAATCCACTGACCAAGTAATATAATATGTGACCATAGAAACGTTCATAACCAAACCTGAATTCACACATCTCTAAGGATTTAATAGAGGTTGAGTCCAGTAGAGAAGACAAGGAAAGTTGCACAAATTATCTTGTTCGAGATTGTTGTCTACGAGAAGTTATCATCAACAAATAAAATTTTTATATACAATCTTGATAGTGTGCAGATACCTAAGTTTATTCATGAAACAATTAAAAGTCCATAATGAAAAAGACAGTTAAAGAAGAGATCCAAATATTAGATCAAAATGACACTTGGACCCTTACAAAACTTCCTCCAAATAAAAGACCTGTAGGATGCAAATGGGTGTTCAATGTCAAGTATAAAGCATATGGGGGTATTGAGAGGTTCAAGGCTAGATTGGTGGCCAAAGGTTTCACTCAGTCTTATGAGATAGACTATCAAAAAACCTTTGCTCCGGTGGCAATGTTAAACACGATAAAAGTTCTTTCATTGCTAGTGAACAAAGGGTGGAAACTACATCAAATTTTTATCAACAATGAGTTTTTGAATGGAGACCCTTGAAGAAGAAGTGCATGAGTAGATCTCACCAGAACTAGGAAAAGACTAAATAAACATCAAGTTTGTAAACTAAGAAAGTCCCTTTATGGCCTCAAACAATCTCCAAGTGCTTGGTTTGATAAGTTTATCAAGACTGAAATCTAATGGGTGCATCCAATGTTAAGTAGATCATACACTATTCATAAAGTATACACAGAGAGATAAGAAAGCTATACTCATTATCTATATAGATGATATAATCTTGATAGGTGATGATGAAAAAGAGATTGAAAAGATTAAGAAAGTTATTGCTACTAAATTTGAAATTAAGGATCTTTCTGAGCATGTAAGAGGTCAAATCAAAGACGGGTATTGTGATATCCCAAAAAAAAGTACATTCAAGACCTATTAAAAGAAACATAAATGTTGGATATAAACTTGTCAAGACTCCTATGAATTCAACAAGAAGTTATAAACAAGGGAAGAAAAAAAGGCAAATACTGGAGATTGATGGGTAAGCTTATCTACTTATCACACACTAGACCTGATATCGCTTATTCTGCTAGCAAGTGAGTCAACATATGAATAATTCAAATGAAGAACATTTAGAAATAATTGCAGAATATTATGGTTTTTTTTTAGAAAACACCTGATAGAGGATTATTGTCTAAGAAATCTAACAGGGAGGTGGATGTTTATATTGATGCTAGCTAGAGTTCATGGACAAAAGATCCGCCTCTAGGTATTGTTTCAATGTCTGAGAAAATCTTGCACATTGAGATGCAAGAAGCAAACAGTAGTCTCTAAAAATAATGCAAAATCTCAGTACTAGACACTTGCTTTGAGAATTTATGAAGGAATGTGGATCCAAAGGTTACTAAATGAGTTGGGATACTTCACAGTCAATCCCATAAAAATGTTCTATAACAGCCAAGCCGCCATTAGTATTGCAAAGAATCATGTACATCATGGTAAGACTAGACAGATTGAATTTTATCTCTGAGAAGGTCAATGGAGGCATTATTCACTTGATCTAAATTCCAACTCATCTTCAAATTGTTGATGTTTTCACTAAATCTCTACCTCCACACAACTTCACTGATTTAAATACCAAACTTGCTCTTTACAACATTTATGACCCAGCTTTAGGGGGAGTGTGGAATTCTAAGTTTCCTATTTTAGATTTATTCCCGCTTATTCATTTCTTATTATGTAGTTTTTATTTCCTTTTATTGTTTGTTGTGTCTTTGGTATGTTGTAATGGTAGGAATAAGTTTGTCCTAGCCTTTACTTATTATATAAGGAGAAGAATTGTAATTTGATCATTAAGAAATAAGAGAATAAAACTTTTCACCATCCTTTTCAGCTTTCCATATGTACTCTAATCCATAAGAATGGCAAAACAAGAACTTGTAGAAAGAGGCAAGTCATTTAAAAGAGGAAAATATTGGAGGATTAGTAAGTGTTTTGATGATTCAGAAAAAGAGAAGTCAAGGGTAAAGGCATCTTAAACTATAGCATTAACAATAAGATATAACATTACGCTTCATCCAAAGAAAAGAAAAGACTGTTGACTAGCCGTTCTAAATGATGCTGCCAAATTATCATAAAACACTTGAACCCTATAAACTAAAACCTTCCGAGTGAAACAGACTAAAGATGTCTACTTCCTACAAATCTACAATCTTCCTTCAGTTAAACAATAAAACAGATGCCTTTGCGGGAGAGTTAACCTTAACAACAAAAACACTTGTATTATGCTACGTCTAACATATAGCAAAGTTTTCTAATACATTTAAAAATAAATAAATAAATAATTAGATCTAAAAATTTTAAGAAAAATAAAGTTACACACATCAGTGGACATAGAATGCGATATTTTTGTTTGTTGCATATTGACATGAAAATATAATGCAGCCGCACCAC